TGGCATCCCAAGCCAGTTCTTAACCATCGTGCCACTCGGCCGGCCCAGTCTTATTGTGATTTTAATTTGCATTTCCCTGATGACTAAAAACTTTGAGCATCTTTTCTTGTGCTTTTTGGCTATTTGTGTATCTTTTTCTGTGAAGTATTTATTGAAATTTGTGTCTCTTTTATTGGGTTGTCATTATACTTGGGTTATAAGAGAACTCTATATATACTAGATACCATTCTGTCATGTTACATGTATTACAAGTATGTTCTCTCAATTTGTGATGTGTATTTTCGTTTTCTTAATAGTATCTTTCAAAGAGTAAAAGTTTCACATTTGATCAAATCCAATTTATTGAACTTTCATCTTACAGTTCTTTGTTTTCCTGTGTTATCTTTATTATCTTTGCCTATGCCCCAAATTTTGGAGATTTTCTTCCAGAAGATTTATAATTTTAGGTTTTACATTCAAGTCTATTGTTTGCTTTGAGTTAATTTTTGTATGTGGTGAGAAATAAGGGTCAATTTTTATTTTTTTTCTGCACAATATCTTCTTGTAGCACCATTTGTTGAAATGAGTTTTTTCCCCATTGAATTGCCTTGGCACTGTTGTCCAAAAAATCAATTGGCCACATAGGTGTGGGTGTATTTTTGGACTCTATTCTGTTCCATTGATCTGTATGCTTAGCCTATCTTCCAAATGCCACACTGACTTTATTATTATTTCCTATAGTAAATCTCTAAATCAAGTAGTGTATTCTCCATGTTTTGAAACTACTGTAAAAATTATGGGACCTTTGTTTTTCTGTGTAAGTTTTAGAATTAACTTCTCAATTTCTGCAAAAAAAATAATAAAGCTTGCAGAAATTTTGATTTTGTGATTGCTTTGAATCTATAGCTCAATTTGGGTAGAATTGACATCTTAATGATATTGGAATCTTCCAATATATGAACCTGGTATTTGTCTGCATTTCTTTAGGTCTTTAATGTTCTCCCAGCAGTATTTTGTCATTTTCACTGTAAAGGTCTTACAACATTGTATTCATTTCCTAGAGCTGCTGTAACAAATTGGGTGGTTTAAGACAATAGTAATTTATTCTCACCTCTCAGGAAGCCAAAAGTCTAAAATTAAGGTATTGGCAGGTTAGTTCCTTCTGGATGCCCTGAGGGAAAATTTGTTCCATGCCTAGCTTTGGGTGTCTGTGAGCAATCTTTGTCATTCTCTGGCCAATCTCTCTGCCTCTGTCTTCACATGGTCTTCTTCTTCTATGCCTCAGTGTCTTCTCCTTTTCTCTGCCATTGGATTTAGGAACAAGCCTAATCCAGGATGATCTTATCTTGAGAATTTTACTTTAATTATATTTGCAAAAACCCCTTTTCAAAAAAAAAGAAAAAGAAAAAGAAAAAGAAGTCACATTCTGAGGTTCCAGATGGACATAACTTTTGGGAGCCACAATTCAACTCACTGCACACATATTTTTAAAAAATTACTCCTAGGTGTTTCATATTTTATGATACTATTATAAGTGGATTTTTAAAATTTCTTTTCCAATGATAGGCTGCTATTAATAGTATAAAAATGTAGTTGACTTGTATATATTAATCTTGTATCTTACTAAATTCAGTTATTAGTTCTGATCATTGTTATATATATTCAGGATTTTCTACACAAACAAGCATGCTGTTTACAAATACAGGGAGTTTTTGTTTTTTTTTCTATGCCTTTTGTTTTTCTTGCTTTATTACAATTACTAGGATATTCAGTGAAATATTGACTAGAAGTGGAAAAGCAGGCATCCTTGCCTTGTTCCTAATCTTAGGGAGAAATACTTTATAACTAACCATTAAGGAAGATGTTGACAATAGGTTTTTTACAGAATGTCTTTTATCAGATTGGGACAATTTCTTTCTATTCCTAATATGTCAGGAGTTTTTTTCTTTTAAATCATGAATGGGTGTTGAATTTTATCAAATGGTTTTTCTACTTCTATTGAAATTATGATGCTTTTTCCCATTTATTCTATTAAAATGGTTAATTACATTGATTTTTAAATACAAAACTAATCTTAATTTCTTAGAATAAATCCTAACTGGTAATGATATATTTTATATATTGTCAGATTTGATTTATTAATTTTGTAAAGGATTTTTGCGTCTATTTTTATGAAGGATATTGGTCTGTTATTGCTAATTTTCTTACATTGGTCTGTATTTGATTGTCCAATTTTGGTAAAAATTAGTTTGGAAGGGCTGTCTCTTCCTCTATTTTCTCGAAGAATTATGTATGATTAGTTCTATTTCTTACTCGAATATTTGTTAGGAATCACCGATGATACCATTTGGATCTGGAATTTTTTCTGTGAGAAGGCTTAGATAATGAATTTAATTGCTTTGTTATGAGGCTATCTAGATTTTCTGTTTCATCTGTGTCAGTTTTAGTAAGTTGTGTTTTTCAAGGAATTTGTCCATTTTATCTATGTTCTGGCCTACTTATTTTTATAAGTCTAGCCTAGATATCTTCTTTTCTGTGAAACTTTACTTGACACCTCCAATAGAAGTGATTTCTCATCCTTTGTGCCATTTCTTTATATAGTATCATTTGTACTCTCTACCTTCCTTCGAGGTTATTTGTCCATATGTCTTTTTCTATATTAACTTAAGGGCCTGAATTTCAATGATTGCATCCTGTGAATCTTGGAGTCTCTGCCTCCTTGTATGATGCTTCAGACATAATAGTTACCCCCCCATGATTAAATTATTAAATTATTCCATTTATTTTTGTCTAATTAATACTTATGCAGGCATGTTTTTAACTTCCTCAGAAGATTTTGAGCATCTTTTGCAAAAATGGCAAGTATCATTCAGTGTTCATATTCCTTCTATGTCATATATTTAGAATAATATTTTAAACTATTAAATTGAATAGACTTACTTTTTGAACAGTACAGAAAAATCAGTATCCTATGAACTTGGAGAAGAGTGGTTCAATGGAAATTCTTAAAGTATGCATCAATAAAGGTAGAGAAATAAGGGAACTAACATTGCTGAGTGCTGACTATGTGTCAGACAGTGATAAACAATTTATATTTCTTATCTCATTTAACCTTAAAATAATTATGCTTAAAAGACATTATTATCCTCATTTTACAGATCAGGAATCTGAGGTTCAGAAAAGCTAAGTACTTTCCCAAGTTCACAAAGTTATTAAGTGGCAGATCTGGGTTTCACATTCAAGTCTGAATGATCACATCCATGTTCTTGGTTTCAGTTGTACTTTTGCCCATTTGGTCTACTATAAGATACTTTATGCATTTTCCTGTTACCTTTAAACTTTGATAGAATAGAATATTCTGTAGTCCTACTAATTGTGTGTTGGAGTCATTGTAAATTTAGAAAAACTCCAGAATATTACCTGGATATTTTTCTGCCTATAGCATGAAATATACAGAAGTAGCACAGAAGATTCAAAGAAGATTTATTTCAAAGTATACTGCACAATTCCCTGGCATTCATTTGATGACATCAGATACTACCATTGTGAATGTAGTTAACTGAAGATATCATCAGTTCCTGAGTTCCTACCCAAATAGCATTAGGAAAATTAAGAGGTCACAATCATGATTACTCAAGCAGCCTCCATGGCTTGGTGTTAAAGGATAGGATCTTTCCTTACAACCGATCTTGCCTTTATGTATGCTTCATATTGGTTTAGTTTAGAAAGTTCTGTGGGCTAATTTGTACAAAGCACAGTCCTTTTCCTTATGACTTGATATAAGATACGTGAAACACCAGATACATTTACATTGCCTCTCTGGTGTTGCTAAGATGCTTCCACCTTTAGTATCTTTTCTCTCTCAACACAATAGTACTTTGTATGTTACCTAGATCTGGGTTGCATATGATAACCAGGCTTTTCCCAATTATAAAAGTGAATAATGCACTATTTTGCCAATGCATCTTAGCCAAAGAACTGGAAGGGAAGGCACATTTTTATATGATTCCAGACTATCAATTGAAGCAAGATATTTCTAAGGTCCTCCCAATGTGGGGGAAAAAGAAAAAAAATTTGTTTATTTATTTGTGAACAATACTGTGATAAGGAACTTGCTACTTCTCCAGGGAAATTGCTTGCAATACATCATCATTGAGGAGACAACTTAACAATTCACACTGATCATTCCCTGTGGTCTGCTATGACTGGGATGATGCTGTCATGTATTATAAGCACCAAACACAAAAGCTGGAGCAGTTCTCTCTCTTGAGTTCTAATCTGTGTTGGAATGACTGCTTTAGGCATCCACAGCTCTAGGTTCTTTCTGACCAAGAATTGAAGTAAGTACTCTTACTAGACACATTAGGGAAAAAAATCTAAAAAGCATCCCTGCCTTTTAATGTCAGAGATCAACATGGGGATCTTTCTCACTTTTAGGTAGTAGATACAGCTTATTTATGGTGTGAACATCAAACTTGTTGAATGGACATTGTTGAGACAACATTAATTATTATTTATCATGCAAACGTGGACAGGTGATGTTTTACAGGGGTATGAAAGGGGGAGAGGTGGAATAAATACACGGCCCCTCAGAAGCTGTTTCTGGTTAAGAATTTGTTTGTTTGTTTGTTTGCTTTAGCCGAGCCATCCTGCCACCTGTTGGCAGCTCAGTGGCAGCTCAGCTTGGGCTGGGAATCAAACTGGCGACACTTTTGCTCAGAGCTCGCACTTTTGAGCGAGCTCTTAACCAACTGAGCCACTCAGCCAGCCCTCGGTTAAGGATTTTTAAGTAGCCACTTGAAATCAAGGGAAATACAAGAGATAGAAGGAGTTGGGAATAGTAGGATTAGGAGCAGGATAGAAATATGTTTTTCTTCCTACTAAACACTGTACTTAGGCAAAGCACAGTCCATACAAGAGCTGCCTTATAAAAACTTGCTGAATAAATGGAATGAATGAGTTGATAGATATTAGATTCTGAACTTTCTTACATAGTAGTTTCAAACTGTGGTGGGTTTGGTATGTTTCATCTGGGTGTTGTAGGAGGCCAGGAAAGACCTTTCTATTTGATCCTAGAAGCTGAGAGTGTGCTCTGCACTGCCTGGATAAGACCAGCTTCTGGAAGTTCTGTGTATTCAGAATGGACCTATTTACCTGCAACTGGAGCACTATTGCCAGTTTCAGCAAAGAACCTACATTGCCCCAAAAAAACATTGTTTCCTATTACAAGGTACAATCTTGGCTCTTTTGCCATGAGAAAGACTGTTCTTGGAAACGTACTCCAGAGACTTTCTTATTTAACCAGGGTACCAATTGCATTGCTGCATAATTTCCCTGCTGAGGCCCTATGAGAGGAATGAGTTGGGACAGATACAGCAAGATATTAGGACAAATTTTTCCTATTCTTCCTGCACAATTCTTCTTTACTTCTGCACAACATAGAAGTGAACTTGATTTCAATAAGATGACCCAATTCTTCGCATGCTTTTCTAACCACTTTTACCCATAATGCTTTCAAATCGCTGTCTTTGATTCAAATTGTGCAGAGAAACAAGGAAATGAAAAAATGATAAACTGGCTAGTAAAAAGTACAATGACATTTAATTAAAACTACGCTTGCAAATTCATGGGGGGAGAAAGATATTTTGCTAGAAACAAACAAACGAACGAACAAAAACCCTGTGATTAAACCTCAGGGCAGCATCACTGTCCTCTTGTGGTTTTGAGTGTATGTAATTTGTACATTGGCAGTAGATATTTGTCATATTGTTAACAATTTCTCTACGAAATGGTACACTCGGCACTGTGCATCATTTTAACCTTGTTTAGTCACAAGGCTTTCATTTTCTTTCTGTACTTTTGTTCAGCTTGTTTCTGAGTGGTGGTTTGTTCACATAAGCTTTCAATTTTAAATAACACAATCTGTTTATTTCACTAGGCGTCTTTATTTGCTTAAAGTGAAGAATCAGATTGTGATTGTGTTGTAAATAAGCCAGTCCTTTCCTTTCCCTTACAGAAAAAGCTGTGGGTACTAAAAAAGAGAACTGAAAGACATAGAAATTCTACTAGTCTTGAATGAACCCAGTTATTAGAGTAAGTAGAGCTGAATCTATGGGTGGGGGGCAAAGAAAAGAAAATGGAAAAGGTGTTTTTAGAACTTTTACATTAATCCACTACATTGTCCCCCTTCTCTGCTTCTTTCCACTACCCTGATCTCACCCCTGCCCCATGGTCAGAATCAAGGGCTCACGACAGCTCAGAAGCTGAAAGAAGAAGAAGAGTGAGGCTCTGGGTACCGCTTCCACAGTAATCCTAAAAGGTCAAGGTAGAAAGACTCTGCCTGGAGAACCACCTTTTTACATTTCTAAAATTGCATCAGTGATCCTAAAGTCTTTATAAGTAAAGGCTTTTCTGCATTTAAAGAGCTTAGTTTTGCTGGGATATTTTAAGGCAAGATAAAATGATGAAAAATAAACATTTCCTATATTCCTATGTATGGGGCTAAGCTTCTGGAAACACTGAAGCGACTGTTTGCCTAAAAGTCTTGGCAGTTTTCAAAGACGACTGGCCAAGTCATAAGAGAATGAGGAGAAGACATTTATATAGTACTGTGTCCAGCATTGTATGTAAAACACATGTTTTAATGTAAAGAAATCTGTTGCATCAAAACCTTGGGAAATATATCATCCTCTTTTTTTCTTAACTACATAGATACCCCAACACAAATATCCTGTTCTTCAAAAATTATTTTTAGAAAATAAGAAAATCAACATGGCCTTTAAAAAGCAAATCTCTTCATTTTCATTTTCTTCTCCTTTTCCTTTTTCATTTAAAAGTTAAGGCAACATTTCAGCAGAGAAATGTGGAGCAGAGTAAAGGGAAATCAATAAAGTTATTCTGTGACTTTTCCCAGGAGAGAGCTGTGTTAATCGAGAACGGCTTGCTTGGCTATATATAACGTTTGAGGAAAGAACAGGAGTTGCTTTTGAAATAGATTTCCCAGGTAGATGGAAGGAGATATAGATATATCTCCATATATATAATTTTTATAAGAATAGTGTATGTGTGTATACACTACACATTTTAATACACATTTTAATATTGGGTTGTTGGAAAAGTCATGACACATGTTTGCCACAGATGGCACTAGTTCATTTTTGGAAGTACTAGAGTCATTCACATCTATGTTATTGCTATGTCATTTGACAGCTGACAGTCCTAGCTTCATTCTAAAAAAAAAAATTGAGTGATTTGGTTGAGTTTTGGAGATTTTACAACAAGTTGAAGATGGAAGACCACTGTGCATTTTTGCCATATTTTACTGTTTTACTTCCATAAAGGGACGAACGCGCGTCAAGCTTGTGAAAAGTTGCATAAAGTTTATGGTGACAATGATCTACAAGAATGTCAGTGCCAATGATGGTTCATGAAATTCCGTGCTGGTGATTTTGATCTCAATGACACTCCTTGGTCAGGGAGGCCCACCGAGGTTGATGACGACAAAATAAAGGCATTGATTGAGTCAAACCCGCGTTACATGAAGCAAGCTCAATATTTGGGTTCTGCACGAACTCAAAGAAGTTCATTTGATGGCATGTATAAACATCTGCAATATGCTCATTAAATGTAAGGAAAATGATCCTTTTATGAAGGGACTGATAACTGGTAATGAGAAGTGGATTGTTTACAACAATGTGGTGGGCAAATGGCCTTTGTCCCGATGTAATGATTCGCCTCAAACGACATCGAAAGCAGACATTCATCAGAGGAGGGTTATGCTTTCAATGTGGTGGGATTTTAAAGGTGTGTTTTTCGAGCTCCTACCAAGGAACCAAACAATCAATTCGAATGTGTACTGTCGGCAAATGGACAGTTTGAACGAATCCATCGTTCGGAAATACCCAGAGCTCGTTAATTGTAAAGGAGTTGTGCTCCATGGTGACAATGCGAGACCACACACGTTTGATCACCCGTCAAGAATTATTGGAGCTTGGATGGGATGTGTTGCCGCACCCACCATACTCGCCTGACCTTGCGCCATCAGACTTCCACTTGTTTAGCTCTCTTCAAAACTCCTTGCCTATTGTAAATAGTGCTGCAATAAACATAGGGTGCATATATGTTTTCGAATTAGCATCTTGGGTTTCTCTGGATAGATATACAAAAGTGGAATTGCTGAGCCATATGGTAGTTCCATTTCCAGTTTTTTTGAGATACATACTTATTAGATGGCATAAATTGGTAACTATAATATTGCCACAGGCATATCAAAGACAGTTTGGGGAATATAATTAATAATGTAAATATTTTGTAGGGTGTCAGATGACCACATGTCTTGTTAGGAAAACCACTTCATGGATGGTGTAGAGGCTTGACCATTGCACTGTACACCTGAAGCTGATGTTGAATAATATTGTATGTCAACTATAATTAAATATATATATGGTCACGGGATGTGGAGTACAGTGTGGGAGTGGAGTCAAGGGAATTGTAATAGATATGTATAATATGGGGGGAGGCAGCAGATTGGGGGGGTTGTCACTTTGAGGGGTAAAAAGTATAAGCTATTGCACTGTGTTATACAGCTGAAACTAATTTTAAAAATGTTTATTTTACATTAAAAAATCAAAGTAAGCTTTAAAAAAAAAAACTCCTTGCATGGTATAATGTTCAATTCAGATGAGGCTGTAAATCAACACTTTGTTCAGTTTTTTGCAAATAAAGACAGGTCCTTCTATGAATGAGGAATTATGAAGCTCACTGAAAGATGGCAAAAGGTTATCGAACAAAATGGGCAATATATCATTGATTGATCTTTGTTCTTTATATAAATAAATGACCTTTGAATAACATAGACAATATACATCATGACTTTTCTGACAACCCAATATATATAATACATATGTATGTTTTCATATAGATTTAAAATGTGTGTATATATTTAAAATGTGTCTACATTTTAAATACATATGTATACACAAATTTTAATACACACACATACTTCTTAAAAGCAGATAAAAGTAATTTCTTTAGATAACTAGTAATACTACACATTCTTCTAAAAATTCATGTATATTTAATACTCTACAAGCATCTTTAATAAGGCTTTTGAATCCTAAATAAGTAAATTGATGTGCAAAAGCCTAAAAAAGACTGACAAAGGAATGGAAATCAGATATCCTGACCCAAGACCAGTGGAAGTGTTTCTGACCATAGGAAATGTTTCAAAGAGTCCTCTGGGTCATTCGTGTGTGCGTGTGTGTGTGTGTTTCCTCTCACAATCAACATTATGGAAATTTTCACAAGGTGTGACTTCAGCAGGGCGGATGAAAGTCAAGTTAGCTAAAAGACTGCCCAACTCCACGGGGCTGTGGCATCATGTTCTCATGGTCACTGGAAGCAGCAGTGGTTTCTTCATCAGACAACATAATTGAATGGAAAGCAGGATCCCTGGGGTCAGGCCTGACTTCACCTTCAACAGTGTGATTGTGAGTGAGTTATTTATCTTTTCTGGATTTTTATTTCCCTTTGCATTGAATGGAATCAATAAGCCTTGCCCCTTCCCAACAACATGCTTCTTTTTATTTTTAATTAATTTTTTTCAGTTATAATTGCCATTCGATATGATTTTATATTAGTTTCAGGTGTACAGCGCAGTGGTTATACATTTATATAACTTATGCAATGATGTCTCCAATTAGTCTAGAACCCACCTGGCACTATACATAGTTGTTGCAACATTATTGACTATATGCTCTATGCTGTACTTTACATCCCTGTGACTGTTTTGTAACAGCATGCTTTCTTACTGCCCAAAAACCTTGTCAAACTTTCTTTATTCCACTCAAATGGTCAGGAGATTTTGGAGGCAGTTAATTGAGGACCCCTTTTTCATGACCTAATCTGCTATGATTAGTTGTACCATTCTTAAACTCTTAACATTTTTCTTCTTCGTTTTGTATATTTAGACTCTAAACAGCTTTTACCATCAGCTAATATGCTCTATTTATTTTTCTAAATCCAAATTCCATCTACATCGTAACTGTTAAGAAAATATTCTTGTAAGAAAATAGAATCTAGGCAGAGAGAAGAACCATGCAATTCTAGAATTACCCTAGAAGGAACTTAAGAGTTCATCTAGTCCAAACTCTCATAATATAGTTGAGAAAGCTAATGATCTGAGAGGTGAAATGCCTCATCCAAAATTACTGTGACAGGGCTAAGCAGAGAACCCTGTCTCTTTAACTTTTACTTCTATATTCTTTCCCTTAGTTCATGTGTGTTGGGATCACTATAATCAGAAATAGAACCTTAAGTTCAAGTAAGAAGACCAGAAAAGGACAAGCATTTG